TGGATACAGAACCATATTAAAAGTAAGCTTCTTAAACAATTACCTTTTGTTTCCTCTCCACATAAAAACAACTGTGTTGTTATGTAATGTTAGGATTGTTCTAATTTACACAACTGAACATTATCTTTTGTTCATCAGCTGAAAGCCATAACCATCAAAACAAATAGGAATGAAAAAATCTGACCTAATAAATATATATATATATATGTATTTTTTTGGTTGTTTTTTTGTTTGTTTTTGTTTTTTGGGGGGGATAGATTTATCAGATACAGCTGTTAATATAATCTAATAATATATTACATTTGTAGGGAATTGCAGTCTTTTTTTTTTCTTAAATTGTGAGGAAATAGTCAAATTAAAGTTCATTAGGAGTATAAAAAGTGTTAAAAAAATAAGAAATAAGCAGCAAATCTCCACATCTGATGAGCTAAAACTAAAATAATATATATTCTACACATATTGTAACCTTCATTTTTTAATCTTCAACACATTTGTTTGCATTATAAAAATTACCAACAACCTCTTCCAGTCAAACTAAAAATATTGTTCATAAAAATAACTTTACGCTTAGTAAATAGCTGTCAGGAAACAGATTAAAGTAATTTTGGAAACTCTGCCCAGATTTTGATCACACAGTTTAATTTGATCCAGTAACTTTATTAACTAAGCATGTTAGTTTGGGGGGGCCTTAAATATGAGATTTTCATCTCTTTGTGTTCATATTTTATTTTTGCCAGATACACAATTAAAAAAGGCACCTCCTCTCATGTGGAAGTTTACTTTTCAGTTTTGAGTTTAACCAAGAGAATGGGTTCTGTTATTATTTAGTTTAAAATGGCACGACTAAGACCAGGTTTCAACAAAATCCACACACTGAAAAAACATTCTAAAAATTAGTAAATATTTCTTAAAATAAGTGTATTTCCCCCTAAGTTGAGTAGGAAAATACAATGATCTGCCAATGGAATTAGCGTTTTTACCCTTAAAATAAGAAAATTAGATATTATGCACTTGAGATAAGAGACTGCAGTTGTTTTGTCTTATTCTAAATGTAAATTGTCTTATCCTATTGGCAAAGTGTCTCACATACCTGCTCAATTCAAGAAAAATGCACTTATTTCAAGAAAAAAAAAGTCTTACTTAGATATACATTTTTTGCAGTGTAATATTCATTTATATTTATACAACAGTTTAGCAAAAATATTTAAGATTCCTGATGTTGGCATCCTTAACCAAAAATTTGCATAAATTTAATCTCAGATCACCAGTAAGACCAAATAGATCTAGACTGAGCAGGATGGGATTAAACGGAGCTAAAATTAGAATCTGTTTCCAGTATTCGTGTTTTAAATATATTTTTAATTAATGTTTAAGTTTTATATTTCATTATCATTCTCCTCTGGAATTGTATAACTCATAATAAGTACCTAATGGTCAACATATCATGTTGATGATGAGAGCTGTTTTCCTCTGAATTACAATAAATAATGGCTAAAGTAGATGCTGAGACCTGTTCTCCCCCAGGCTTTATTGACGAACCGATCGCTGAACCTCCTGGTCAGAACATTGATCGAAATCTAAATCACTCATTGATTGGAAAACCGAGGAGAGCGGATGCTGAATACTGGCTACTTACAGCTTTTCTGGTGAAGGGATTTGCTGTTTTTCTGTTACAACAGAACTCTGACCATTTCCTCATGATTTATTGCAGGAAAAAAGGTCAGAAATGACATTTTCTGCACTACAATATAATTGAAAATTTCTTAGTCTTAAATTATTTCTGCACTTTCCTTGCTTAGCCTAGGGCAGAACGGTGAAAAAAAACAATTATTTGTTACTTTTGCAGCTGGTTTCTGAAATAAAAATCATGAGTTTAAAGCTCAATAAAGTTAGGATACATTTACCAGACAGAACAGTTTCATTTAAGATCTTTTCCAACACCATAACCCTTAAGCCTTGCTTCCACCTGTTGTAGCGACTGGTGAGAATGAACATGCCGATCGCTGATGACAACACAGTTCATTTCACCTCCACGCTGATGGCTCTGATCCGCACCGCCCTCGAGATCAAGCTGGCATCCGGTAAGGCTCAGAAATACAACATCTAGAGTTCCCTGCTGATTTATTAGCCATTCTGACAGGAAGGAGCTCTGCTGCTTATTTAATGTGATGTCTGTTCCAAGGTGTCCTGGCGCAGCGTTTGTGTGACGCTGACCTGAAGAGGGAAATCAACCGAGTGTGGCCAAACCTGCAGCAGAAGACTGTCGACCTGCTTGTGACGCCACATAAATGTGAGTCAGTTGGTGTTTGGGCTTTAAAAGCTGTGATTTCTCTGCTTTTTGGTCATGTTACCATCCTACAAGGTTCAGTTTAACAGATCGGTCCATTGACCAATGCATAAATTGCAAAATAACAAAACTTTGTAGTGATGTTAAGACTGAGTGCTTAAATAGTGTGTAGGTCTGTGCAATCTCTCAGAATACTGCACACTCTCTTCAAACAGAAAGCTCAGAAGAGGCCTTTCGAGGATCTGTTGGGGCCATGTTAATGTGCATTATGGTGCAGCTTGCAAATAAAAAAATATACAATTAACCAGCACAGTACCAATGGACTAACTTAAAGCTGGCCACCCTCTTCACACATTCCCATCTAGTGGCAGTAGGCAACCAGTCAGACCTCCTATTCCTGAGGTCAGCAATCTTTTCTTTGGTCATAGAGGTGCTAATGCCCATGTTTTTATTGGCACACTGCCCCACCAGCCTGGTGATCTTTTTTTTTTAATACTTTCTGCAAACCTAATTTATTTGCAAGTATATGTGGTTTATTGACATAGCTCAATTCTACACAAAGTCAGTTCTATCTAGTAATTCAGACATATAAAAATCTATCCTATTAATGAAATTATGCAGCAAAATGCTCAGTTTTTCGTTCAGACTGTTTTTTGTTTAGTTTTTGTAATCTAAGGTAACCGAAGCAGATTGAAACGAGTCAATAACTTGTAGCCATCACTCCCACTGGGCGAGCATCTAATGCAAATAGGATGAAGCCGAGCACAGTTAGTTGAAGCAGTAGCTCCTTCAGATGTTTTTTAGTAGAGAGACTAAGTTAAATAAAATAAACAGAGACATAGAGTATGTATCATCTTTGAAGAGAACACAAAGGTATTGAAGCAGTAGCTCAGCCGAGGGACAATGGGGCAGATTTAAATTCTACATGTACAAAAAGCAGGGAACGCAGGGTTATTAGTAGAGTTAAAAGCAGATAATAAATAATTGGAGACCAGAAAGGGGAAGTAGTCAGTACAGTATGTCCTCCGGCAGCCTAAGGCTCTAGCAGCATAGCTACAAAGATAGTAGTCTATCTCTACCTCAGTTTAGCAGAAACTAGAATCTTCTCTCTTATATTTTAGTCCATTTAACTATAAAGGTCCAGATAATGTTACAGTCAGTATGTCTCTAGTAAAAAAACTGGATTTTTAAACTTTGTGTGCTTCTTATTCTCCAGGATTTTCAATTTTCATCATGCCTTTTTTTTTATTAATATTTTTACTGATTATCTTGCTTTCATAAAGCAGTCTCCTAGTATGCTTTTCTAAGCTTTCTTTCAGAAGCAATATTTCAACACACACAAAAAAACACTTAACAGATTTAGTAGAGAGAGTTTTGCATAAATCTTGTTTTCTTGAAAAACAATTTATTTCTAACAATTTATTTCTATTCTCCATCCCTAAGTTGTACATTCTTGCTCCTCTTCCACCATCTAGTGGCTACAATAAGAAACTGCCTGACACTGTCCTCTTCCTCTCTGCAGATAATGAGCTGACAGTGGGAAAAGTCTACGCTGCTCACATGATCTTTGATTACTACAAACAGAATCGAGCAAAGAAACTCCAACAGCAGAACCCATCTGGGATCTCACAGGTATGGAGCTAAAGTGACCACAGCATAGCAAAAAAAAAAAGATTATAGAAAACAGTCAAAAGACTTTCTTCATTCAGGATAAAACTTTCCTCTTTCTGATCTATTACTCCAGAAAGAAAAAAAAAACCTTTTACTAAAAAACTCAAGCTGACACGTTTATGAAAAAAATTAATAATTGTCTTTGTGAAAAATGTATTATGAAAAATGTATCTTAAAATTTTCATGTGAGAAATTTATAGACTGCAAAAACAATCTAGAAATAATTAAAAATGTCTTGAATTAAATGTATTTAACTTTAATTTGAGTAGGTAAATAAGATGATCTGCCTATGAAATTAGCATTTTTACTCTTAAAACAAGATAATTAGATAATATGCTCTTGAAATAAGGCAATACAATAGTTTTTTTTCTTATTTTAAATGTAAATTGTCTTGATCCATTGACAAAGTGTCTCACTTAACTCCTAAATTTAAGAACGAATGCACCTAATTTAAGAAAAATTGACTTATCTAGATTTCGATTTTTTCAGTGTATGGTCTTTTTTTCCGCAGACATCAACAGTCATCTTCCATCAAATCTAAAAACGTAATTCCTCTTAAATAATCAAAAAAGCACACAGCTATTTAATGAACACATAACTTGGAAAATATTTAAAAACACACTCCATAAAGTCTACAATAATTGTATCCTGTTTATCATTATAGTTATTAATTACACTCACCGGCCAATTTATTAGGTACCCCATGCTAGTAACGGGTTGGACCCCCTTTTGCCTTCAGAACTGCCTCAATTCTT